TGGGAATTCAATTTAGCACTTGAGTGCTAAGATAAAAATAATTGTCTACTACTACAGTTCCACAACCCTTTTTTCCCCCAACTCATTTGTTACTTCATTTCTTTAGCTTAAGATGTTTAAAAATATCACAAACAGACCTACCTCCTCATTCAAATTTTTCAGCATAGAATGAAGAGATGATTAACACATTTGTTGTTACTTGGATCTCTCTCTCCTTCCTCCCTGCCTTCCTTCTTTCCCTTTTCCTTTTTTTCTTTTTTAAGACTGTATTTATTTGAGAGAGAGATAAGCAGACTCCCTGCTGAGCAAAGAACCCAACATGAAACTCCATCCCAGGATCCTGACATGACCTGAACCAAAGGCAGACGCTTAACCAACTAGGCCACCTGGATGCCCTCTTTCCCTCTTTTATTTTTTTGTTCTAAACGCTCTCAGGTTATCTTTTTTATACCCCAATCATTCTGGCAGCTGACTTGGATATAAGACATATCAGTTCTCTAAGAGATAGCAGCCCTGATTCCCTAACAGGTGCTTATTCAGAATAGTAGCTGTTTTCAATTTATCTGCCATAGAATCCTTAGAATGGGACAATTCTATGCACTTTGACAAAAGAAAATAAATGAACAATTTATGTCAGTGATTTTATCAGTCTTTTTAGGGTAGTGTTGCAAGCATGAACCATCAAAGCCATTTTCTGGAAAGAAAAAAAAACTGCAATGTTTTACAGGTTTCAGTGAACTTATTTGGCCCCAGGGAGGTTCATAATGGATGATTAGCAAATGCATTTCAGTCTTGTTTTTCTCCCTACTCTAAAATTACTCTAGGCATGGAATTCTAAAGTTTTTCATTCAGGGAACCCCAAAGAGCTTTAAGGGTTACATTCAATTTCAAAGTTATTAAGGTAATAGAGTAAATCCCCTTTTTAAAATTCTTGGTATAGTTCACATTTTTGTAGAAAAACCTCCAGCACAAAAGCTTGATGCTGTATGTAACTGTTAAAAACTGGGTCTGGGGATCCCTGGGTGGCGCAGCGGTTTGGCGCCTGCCTTTGGCCGGGGGCGCGATCCTGGAGACCCGGGGTTGAATCCCACTTCAGGCTCCCTGCATGGAGCCTGCTTCTCCCTCTGCCTGTGTCTCTGCCTCTCTGTCTCTTTCTGTGTGACTATCATGAATAAATAAATAAAATCTTTAAAAAAAAAAAAAAACTGGGTCTGTGTGTTTTAGTTGCAGAGAGCACTGCCTTCAAAAAGCACAGTTCAGCAGCCAAAGCAATTAAACACAATTGCAGTTTTTACTTGTATGCTTTGTAAAATGCAAGAGACTCTAAATATCCAGCCCACTATCGCAATTATTAAATACCCTTTTCCTTCTGTCTATTTTTCTGCCCAAGGCCCCTGTCTCCAAATCCAGAGCATCTACTCTTCCTTTTCTCCCTGCAAGAGATTTGACCTTAGGCGACAGTGGATTGGGGTCTATGCACGCAGGAGTCATCTATGCATGTCTGCTGTTCCAGTGCTTGGTGCTGTGTCATCTGAAGTCAGCTGGGTCAGCACTTCAGTAGGGAAGTCCGAAAATATCAGTATTTTCTGATACTGACAAATGGAGGAGAACACCGGCAAATCAAACCCCTCATAGGTGAGCCGGAACCTGCATTAAGTCCTTACTGCCTTCAACTTGATGGTCCAGCTGGCCTGCCACAGAAGGGGACGAGTTCCCCATAGAGCTCCACACATGCCTGGCTCAGGAGCGAGAGGACCAAAGGAGGCTCCAGGGGAACCCTAGGAGCCACAGGTCCTGCAAAGCTGGTGAGCCAGCCGGGCCTATAGACTTGTGTCCCTACTCTCCCTGAAGTGATTTTCTTTTTTTTTTTTCTTTTTTCTTTTTTTTTTATATATATTTTTTTTTATTTATGATAGGCACACAGTGAGAGAGAGGCAGAGACACAGGCAGAGGGAGAAGCAGGCTCCATGCACCGGGAGCCTGATGTGGGATTCGATCCCGGGTCTCCAGGATCGCGCCCTGGGCCAAAGGCAGGCGGTAAACCACTGTGCCACCCAGGGATCCTCCTGAAGTGATTTTCTGAACCTGATCTGTGACTGCTGCCAAACTCCCCTATAAAATGTCTGGTGTGGTCCATGATAAGCCAGAACAATGTAGGAAAGAGAATTCTAGAAAATGTAGTCCTAGCAAAGGTGCTTTCCCTCCTTTCCTCTGTGTGTGTATATATATTTCTAGGATTCCACAATGCATTGTTTGGTCCAGTGGATGACGTCCAATTAGTACCTTAGGCTCTTTTTACATTTCCTCATTTTTTTTTTCTTTCTGCTTCTCAGATTCAATAAGTTCAATAGTCGTATGTTTAAACTCACTGGTTCTTTCTTCTGCTTGTTCCTATCTGCCACTAAACTCTTCCAGTGAATTGTTTACATTGGCAATTGTACATTTTAGATACAAAATTTCTGTTAGGCTCTTTTTTCTTGTTTGGTAATTTCTATCTTTTTAATTGATATTCTCATTTTAATGCCTTATTTGATTGTCTTTAGTTCTTTATCTTTTAAAAAAATCATATTTATGCAGCTGTTTCACTTTGTTGAGTATGTCCAACACCTCGACTTCCTCAGGGACCATTTCTGTCCATTTATTTTTTTCTTTTCAGTAAGTTACTTTCCTGTTTCTGTATGCTTTGTGGTTTTTGGTTGTTGTGAAACACTGGACCTTTGAGGATCATGTGGTAACTCGGAAAGGCAGATTCTCCCCCTTCCTTATGGTTTGTTCTGGTTTGTTCCTTGAAGGCTATAGTAGCCTATTTGCTTAATTATTTCTCTGGATACTTTCCCAGAGACTGTTTCTTGTCACCGGTGGTCACTGAAGTCTCTTGCTTAGCTTGGGTTCCACTAGTGTTTTTGATTTTTGTTTTTTTTAATTTATGATAGTCACACACAGAGAGAGAGAGAGGCGGAGACACAGGCAGAGGGAGAAGCAGGCTCCATGCACCGGGAGCCCGATGTGGGACTCGATCCCGGGTCTCCAGGATCGCGCCTTGGGCCAAAGGCAGGCGCTAAACCGCTGCGCCACCTAGGGATCCCCCCACTAGTGTTTTTGAATTCTAGGAACTAGAAAACAAAAACAAGCCCCACCCCTCCAAAAAAAACCCCACCCATAGCCAAACAAAAAACAGTAACAACAAAAGCCACCTGTCTGGGTCTTTGCAGATGTTCACATATCTGGCCCTGGGCATGCACACAGTTTTCTACAGCCCCCGGTATACATGGCTTTTTAAAAACATCCAAAGAAACTCTGCCCAGCTTGCGCTGTCAGACCTTGTGCAGCCAGTTGTCCGTTTCATCTGTAACCTTTGGCCCCCAGCATGTAAGGGTTATTAATTCAGTTTGGAGAGTTTTTGAGCAAGACATGTGGCTTTTCCAGTGTGGGTTCAGAGTTAGACACAACAGGATAAATGCTTCAGTCCTTCAGGGAATCCTCAGAGGAGTTACAATGGCCACACAGCAGCATTTGCAAAGGTTTGCTGTTTCCTCTGGAATTGGGGACCGGGGCCCCAAACTAGGAACCTGGGCTGTCGCTATCTCAAGACCAAATCCAAGAGTGGCTAAGACCAGGGTGAGTGAAAATGCGACAAAACTTCCCTGCTGTTTGGAAGTTGCTCTTCTCTTGACTCAGCATTTGCTTAGTTTGCTGTAAAATGCTGACTGTTTTCCAGAGTCCTGACAAGGTTGGTTCTGACAGTTCATACTTGGTTTTCAATGTTTCCGTGGGGAATGAGCACATGAGGCACCTATTCTACCATTTTGCTGATGTCTCACTCCCTAATTTTTCTTGTTACTAATATTCTAAATAATAACCTACACCTAAATCAAGTCCTTTAAGAGAGTTTACAAATGTAAAAACAACCTGTTTAGATGATAGAAATAAAATTTGAAACATACAGTACTCTATAAAATGAAAGAGGCGATAGATATCAGAAAGGAATAGTGTTCCATTGTGTGATGTGACAAAAAGATTGATTCGATTAAAGAAAACCACTTAAAAATCTGTTATCTAACATTCACTACAGAAAAAGTAGAGTTTAAAATGTCAGGCTATATAAGCTGTATCATATGGTGATGCTTGATTAAGAGGGAAATGGAACATTTGCAGCCTCAGTAATATATGTGTCAACACATATTCCTAAAATTCCTACATTCCATTTCAATGTATTAAACAATATCTCAACATGAGCATCTCCTAATTGTACTTTCTATGGAAACACTGTTAACTGTCTACCTGATAGCCATTCACTTGTTCCTGCTCTCTGCCAGAACCTTGATTTCATTCAATGAACATGGGCCATTGAGCTTTCATGAACCTTGAGGTTTTTCCAACTCTGGAACATGATTAATTCATATTATTCTGATCTGATGACTCTAAGTTTGTATCTCTAGCCAGTGATTGGTTTAGGCATGAGCATCAGGGCAATCCTGGTCACACATATATTACTGAGGCTGCAAATGTTCCATTTTCCTCTTAATCAAGCATTACCATATGATCTGTAGTAGGTATATGCCTCAAATGAGCATTTTGAGAACAGACTACCACATTCTCATGATTTTGGGAAAAATTGGAAGTTTTTACTTGAAATTATTCAGATAAATATGAAGAAATGTGTGTGGTTCTCAAATACCAACTGATGTTCTTATTTTCTACCTCCCTTTGCTTTCTTTTTTTCTTCCTTTAATTTGTGTGTGTGTGAGTGTGTGTGTACACTGCATTTATTTTGATACTAGATGGCTAGACAAGTAGAATGCAATGATTCTGGCCAGGTGATCTTTCTTTTTTTTCTTCCTTCCCTCCCTTCCTGTCCCAAATCACAAATTTCTGCTCCTTGAAGGAGTTAATGCAATTCACCATTCCAAAGTAAAGCTCCCAAATATAGTGGCACAGTTAAGCTCTTTTCTAGACCAGACTGAGTTTAGTAGAGCATCTCAATTACAAAAAGGGCTTTATTGGTTTTAAAGACACAAATGTCTATACATAGGTGGAAACCAGTATCCATATTGTCTACATCAATACAGCATGCACAACCCAAAGACACTGACCTCAGACATCTCATATAGGCTGATATGCAAAGGATTCTTTTTGATACTATCTTGTTTACCATCTGAAGGAAACGCTTAGTGTCATTGAGCACAAGGAATTAATAACCAGCTGAGTGTAGAGCCAGGATTTAGAGACAGTCTGCTTAGATTGTGGGCACATTCTCTTAGTCACAAAATTACACTGGAGAAAAATCACTCATGGTTAACAAGTAGAAGAATGTAACATGATAAAGGGCATTTTCAGCAGGCCATTTCCAATAGTTCCAGTTCCAAAAGAACATTTTTGCCTTGGTAAGTGAGAGGCAGGCAATCTTCTATCTGGTTAGTATCTGTGAAGTTAGACTTCAGGAGCTGAAAAAAATGCATAAGCCCTTGGTTTTGCTTATCACCATTATAGAAGGAAGAGTAGAGCCATTCCATTCTAGTTCTTTCTTTCTTTCTTTCTTTTTTCTAGTACTACTTTCTAATCACATGTCCTTCTAGATTGGGCTTAGAAAACTTGAAATGTATATTCTTCTCAGGGCAAGATTAGATTTGGTTGGGCTTCAATAGCAATCACTGGTCTTTCTGCTTATGTACCTAGACAGCAGAGTACAGGCACGGGGTTCCAGGTGGCCTTCCACATTCTAATACATACATACCTACCCTGGTGATGGGCTGACTATTGGTAAGCTTAGGGTCATTGACCCTTTAGGGCTGCAGATCGATCTCTCTCTCTGTCTCTTTCTGGTTGTAATTGTGGATGGATTTCATGAAAGACTCCAAAGACAGGTAGGTGAAACCAGCTTCTGTGCTCAAGTCATTTGCCTGCTGTTATTTAAAGTGGAGCAATTTACATTTTAAAGTGTATTTACATTTTAAACACAGCGTCCTAGAATGATAACTATTCAACCTAATTTAAAATGCACATCAAACTAAGCTCCATGTTGAGAATGACATTTTTGATCTACCAATTATCAAGACACATAGAGTGATGGGGGGTGGGGGGTCTGTGCCTTTTCTCATATGCCCTGTTTTTAACTAACTTGTGGTTCAGTAAAAACAAAAACTGTTAATACATGACCATGTATAAAAACATGTTTTTCTCAGTCATTGTTATTATTGACCATGTGAAATCTCCTGCTAAGTTTTTCATCATGCCCAAAATATATCATGAACATTGCTACCTAACAGCCAAGTTATTCCACATTCAGAGATCTTGATGGCTGGATAAAATGTTTCCTCATAAAATGTGTATGGTTAGAGATTTTGCAAACTTGGCACAAAAAAGCTCTTCCCAATCTTCTCATATTAAGAAAGTAATTAAATTAAAATCAACTAAATAGATTACAGAGAAGACAAAAATGACAAAAATTGTCATTCTGTGAAGAGATCAGTTGAAGTCAGTGATTGGAAGGTGTTTCAATTAACTGGCATTTGTAATCTAGAAGCCTTAAACTTCAGTTTATTCTATTCGATGTATGTCATTATATGAGAAATCCCATTTAAAAACCTAAAGAAGTTGAAATGGTTCAAATATAGACATGTAGTAAACATGAAGTTGTCCAATATGTTCATCCAGGGATTTTAAAATATTCCTTTCTTTAAATAGGATTCCTAAATATCTTAAATATTCACTGAACTGATTTTAATGGAGCGAAATAACAAAATCATTTTGCAACAGTGATTTTGTAAGATGAAAGAAGATATGATACATTATAAAGTGCAAGTGACTCCAGCATCTTCCGCATGTGAACAGACTCTCACACCCCACTGTCTGATTTTACACTCTTCAATAGATGATTCTCTCCCAAAACAAAATACTTCATTCAGCCAAATTGGACCGGTACCTACAAAAATCAGATGTAAGTGCATTAGTAAGTATGGTTTTGGGGTTTATATTTCAGTGGGACAAACCCATCAATTTATATGCTAATTTAACAAAAAATGTTGGTTATTATCTATATACAGTTATATATACTTTCTGTTAGTATTCAAAAATTAATCTTCTGCCCCAGACAACTGTCAATGTGTAAACTACTAAAATACAAAATAATAAGAGCTGTAACAAAGGTACATACATAGCTCAGTGAAATCCTAGATAAAAGATGAATTGGTTTTAACAGATTGGTTTTATTTTTAGAAACAGGAAAGGAAATAAGCTTTACTGATCATACTGATGGCCTAAGGGCATCTGTATGAGGCATTCTCTGAAATGTTATGATATACTGGAGTTCTTTTCTTAGCTTCCAGTGCTTTGGCATTTACCAAATATATTCTGTATTTTTAATTAAACTAAGACTAACACAATCAGCATATGACTTACAAACTATCCCAAAAGAAGACCATGGATTACTAATTGCAAGCCCAGGCAAACAACAGCAACAAAAAGGCAGAGCTAATACTCTCTTTTTCTTGAACTCTTCCTGAGACACGTTAGAAGGGAAAACTGCTGTTAGCAGTAGGTTATCTGGGAGATATTTAACCAACTGAATACACAAACTTAACTGCCACTTTCAAGATAAAGATAGTATTTTATCAATGAGTATGAAAACAAGTGCTTTTTGAAAGGCATCCATGCATGCCAAGAAAAGATTATTTTAAAAATAATGCTTGGAAATGTTCTTCTGGTATTCTCTAAAGATTTTCTGCATGTATCACATGTAAAAGTTCCCCTTTCTTTTATACTTAACACATTTAGAAATGGAACCTTTGAAAAACTTCTAAATGAAAGATTGCATTGTGTTTTGTTAAAAAATATATCATGCAAACCTCCTTGATGAGTTTTCAAGAACATTTCATGCCATGAAGAAACTGATGATTTAGCAGCTAAACTTCAAGAAACTCCTTAGCAGGACTGGTGGCTGGTAAATAAATATCTTAATACTGTCAGCATAATCAATAATACATTTCTTCAATTTGGATCGATATGATGTTGAAAGGTTCTCTTTCGGTCACAGAGCTATGTAAAACATATTTAGAAATAACTTCAGCTCAGAAACAGACCTTGTGTAGCTATGAAACATAGTGTTAGATGAAGACTTTTTTTTCAAAGAGACATCTATAATGGAATATAAAACATTACTCCTGCTGATTTTTCAAATAGCCAAATAAAAGTTTATGTACATGGCTGATAATGTGCATAATTATACAGTAATATGTGCATATATGAATAAATTACAAATATTGGGAATTTTGCAACCACTATGTGGATAACATTTGACCTAACCTTAAAAGATGGATAGGGGTTTTCCATGTATAAAAAAAAAAAAGGTTATTCCATAGAGTGGGGGCAGCATGGAAAGGCTTGATGTATGACAATAGTCAATGGTATCCTGGCATCTAAAACACTAAGTACAGTAATGAGGGTAGAAGGAGTCATTGAGAAGGCTGAATAGAAAGCCAAAGCCAGGCTTTACAATATTCAGAATTTTATATTGTGTCACCAAAAGAAATGACATCATCGGAACTACATTTTAGAAATGTGTGTCTGACAGAAAGGTGGAATTTGGATTAAAGAAAAAAAATCCATACCAGAAGAACAGCTAATAGAATGTCTATGGAGAGATTTTCTTAGAAGACTCATGTTTTGATTTACTCTTAGATAGGAAATTTGTATTTCCACCTTTAAAATAAATTTTGCATTAACTTAATCTTTAATAATTTGTGCCTTTACTAGAAAGATCCCCAATATGGAACAAAATTATATTTAGGTTTACATTACCAAGGTAATTAGGAACTTTGTATTGTTCATTTCATATAACAGTAATTAAATCATTTGTGTCCAAACAATGTTTCTCTTAGAAAAGAAAGGTTTTCCTGTGCTGATCATTTATAAAAATAGCAACCTGGAGAGCTCAAGTATTTTATTTATTTATTTATTTGTTTGTTTGTTTATTTATTTATTTATTTTAATTTTTTTTCAAGTATTTTTTTAAATGTTTGTAACTGTATTGAGCGTTTTTTAAATAATTTTTTTAATTTTTATTTATTTATGATAGTCACAGAGAGAGAGAGAGGCAGAGACACAGGCAGAGGGAGAAGCAGGCTCCATGCACCGGAAGCCCGACGTGGGATTCGATCCTGGGTCTCCAGGATCGCGCCCTGGGCCAAAGGCAGGCGCCAAACCGCTGCGCCACCCAGGGATCCCTATTGAGCGCTTTTTGACCTGAAATTTTAAGGCAGATAAAATGGAAGAGATTAGGGGAATATAATCTCAAAATCAGAAACCTTACCAGGAGTACTTTTTCTTTGTTCCCAAGTTGCTTTTACTAGGTATAGTTCAGTCTCTTTTGTGTTTGTGTGTTTGTACATGTGCATATATTTGTGCATGTGTGTTTCCTTTTTAAATATATAAAGTCTACATAAACTTTTTGGAAACCCCCAAAGGTGACTCAAAAACATAGGCAAATAATCACAATTGCACAAATAGTGAAGCTCCTCCCATGTTAATGTAGAAGAGAGCCAAAACAGCACATTTATAAATTGTGCTTATTAGGTATATAGACATGTATAAACTGTATAAATAAACATAAATAAAACTCTTGGTCAAAGCGTGGCTCTGTCATAATGGGAGCACAAAAGAGGCATGGCTCTCTGGCCTCTAAACCAGGATACTGTAGATGCTTTCACTCCTCATTTTGTAGATCAAGTCACTGGATTTAGATCTCAGATGTGCAGAAGTTTTACAATCCAGGAAAATAGAATTAAGAGTGAGAATCCTCCTGGTGGCTGTTGCACCAGCAGGGGCACCCCCACAGGGACAGCAGAAGATAGATATTATGTAGTCAATTAATGTGCTGATATGTGAACACAAAGTTTTAGAAACAGCAGTAAAGGGATTCATGAGTGTTAGAATACCAAAGCTGTAGTAATATGAGCATTTAAGCCCACTCTTTGAAGAATTTACGATGTGGCTGAAAACATTGGAAGTACTTTTGATCTGTTATCTCATTGAATCGTCAAATAACTTAAAAAGTTAAGTGCTTTTGTAGCGCCATTTTACTGTTGAGGAAAGGAAAAATCAGAAAGAAAAGGTAACTCGGCCCAAGGTCATGTAGCTGATACAGGATGAAGCCAGCATTCCTACCCCATGTCTGCCTAGAGCCCATGCCTTTAATCAATAATTCACTGCAGTCCCCTGCGTTATTAGATTCAGTCATTCAACAAATCTGTTTTGAGTGCCTACCTGGGTGGACACAATCAAAATCCATTTGTTCTTGAACTGACTTCCTGGTGAAGACTTTGGATTTGGGCAGATGTGGCAACCGATGACACGTGTGTAGTTAGCAGCAGAACTGCTGCTTGCATCCAGAACCCCTAGCTCCTATTCCAGGACTTTTTCCACCAAGAACACATGGATATGATAAACACATTGTGCAATTCACTAAATCTGGCCTTTATCTCTGTGGAAAAGATTCACAGCAAACATCCTAGAGGCTTCTTCACATCTGATCTTTAAAATTTACATCTTCTAATAACCCTATGAAATAATGGCAGTTAATTCCATGTCACAGGTAAATACACTGAGATTAAGGGAAAATGTATGCTTTTCTCAAGATAAAAGAGAATACAGCCAAGTAACACACAACATGTAAAACTTGGTGCTATTCACTGACTGCACAGAAGCCCAAATAGAGGCATAAAAATGATTTTCCAAGATTTGTTTTTATTTTTGCATGAATACATTCAGGGCTATTGAACCTGAGGGAAAAATTTATTTAATATGCATTTCCCATCTCATTCCAAATTGTTTTCTGTATTAAAAATTAATTCAAAGGTAGCATAGAATTCATAAAATTTTACCTTCATGTAAACCTCAAAGATTAAAAAGCAAATTTGTTTTTATTTCTTTACATAATAACTATTATTCGAGGATTCTTGGTGTTGCTACTTTCATTGTTATTTGCCTCTGAACTATCTTTCAGGCTTGTGGGAAAACATGCAAAATTTACGTGTACAGTTTAGATATGTTTTTTATTTTCTAACCCAATCTCTTTATCATCTATCCATTTATTTATCCACCTACGCATGTACACATCTCTTATTCCCTTTACAATTTGGGGGCTGGAGGGAGGGCAAATCGACTGATTTTGTGTTTCTAAAAGTATACAGCTAGTAATGTGTTGTCCATGGCTCCTGGAATTTTATGAACCTGAGAATATGCTTGACCAATACCATTTCCCCTTAATCTCTTTTAAAAAATAACATATATTCATATTTATTTCAAGGATTTGAGATTTTTAAATCTGATCTTCAGTAACTCACCACTTTTCTGGAAAATAAAAAAGGTGATCATATTTCGTACGTTAGCTAGAAAAGTACAGTGATGAGATGTGAGATTAGCTGCTGAATAGAAGAAGCATGAAGAAGCAAAAAGCACTGTTGGTTAAAAGTCTGAATGAATTTGAATTAAATCTAGTCATGGCTGGGTGATTTGAATCTGTTACTTTTAAGATTTCTAGTTGGGAAGTACTTTGTCAACAGCTTCCTCTTAGAGAAAGAAAACTTTGTTTCGGTTTGATTTTTGTGATTTTTTTTTTTAAATCAGGTGGAAATAGAGTGGGAATCAGAATAGAGAATGGGTCAACTTAAACTGTAGTTCTAAAGTCTAGGTGAGCAGTTTTGCAGAAGACATTTATTTTCCCTGTTTTAGCAAATAGGCAGAATGAGGAAGTGGAGCTATGAGATTTCATTTAAAGTTCTGTAATTCTACGATTTTAAAGAAGCGGGCTCTTTAGAAATGAGATTCTTAAAGATCCTAGAAGGACATTCTGTCTCATGGAAAGATGACATAGGTTAAGGCATAAAGTTTGACCCTTCCCCTACAATCACCATAATAGTTGTATAA